TGGAACAGTACCTCCGAAGTTATGTTTCCTACCAACAAGATGATTGGGCTCGAATGTTACCAATGGCTGAATTTGCGACGAACAACCATGCTTCCGAAACAACAAAGGTCTCCCCGTTCTATGCCAATTCGGGAAGAAATCCAAGAATGAGTTTTGGCCCTTTGGAACATGGTCGAATGACGGCGGAAGATCAAGCGAATCGTATTGCAAGGGAAATGAAAGATGTAGTAGATTTCCTAAGAGAAGAGATGTTTCGAGCGCAAAGGATACAAGAAGAATCAGCCAATAGAAATCGGACTCCAGCTCCTCGATACTATTTAGGAGATAAAGTTTTCCTATCAACCCGTCATATCCTAACCAAGCGACCTTCCAAGAAATTTGACTGGAAACGTATTGGACCCTATAACGTTAAGCGTATTGTCAACCCCTATGCTTACGAGTTGGAACTTCCCCGATCAATGAAAATACATCCAGTATTCCATGTTTCGTTATTGTCGCCCACAGCCAATGATCCCTTGCCTGGTCAGGAACAACTACCTCCACCCCCAGTCGAAATCGAAGGACAGGAGGAGTGGGAGGTTGAAGATATTTTGGATTCGAGGAAGCGCCGGGGCAGATTTGAATATCTAGTGAAGTATGTCGGGTACGATGAAGCTTCTTGGCAACCATTGTCGGACGTCGAACATTCGCCCAATATTATTAAACGATTCCATGAACGTTACCCACGGAAGCCTAAGCCTACCAGGAGGTAGGCCTTAGAGGGGGGAGTGGTCTGTAACGGCAGCTATATGTTTCGGTTATATGAAGTGTTAGAGTATGTTAAGGAAGGATTGTGTAGTGTGTGTGGGATTTGTTAAGCGAGTTTCTATTATGTTCTTTTTGTTTCTGTTATGTGAGAAGATGAGTCATCGTGGGTTGGGGTTTGGATATATAAAGGGGCGTTGTTTTGGCTTTCTTCTGTTTTCTTTTCTTTCCTTTCTTCTTTATGCAACCTCTGTATTTATTCTACGAATACTATTCTTTGTCTGCACTACGTCATAGGGCTCCAATCGGTTTACCATACCAGGTAGAGCCACCCATAGTCTATAGTCAAAGTATACCTTTACGTCTACGTCCACGTCTACGTCACTACCGAGGTTGTATTCCTTGGCACCACAGTCTATCGCCTACGGTCCCCGTGATAGAATTCCATAGGTATTATCACTGTACCCTGCAAGTCCTGTTCGATTGGGGCTTATTATTGGAAGTAGATGCGTTTTTGATCGAACCTTAATTAAAATGCAAACCAAAGTAAAGAACAAGGATAAAAGAAAGAACAGAGTGAAGAGGGAAAGAGGTACAGGAACCATTCACTATGAGCCTAGTGTTGTCGATGAGATGAGTTGGCTCGAACTCAGAGCTCGAGCAGCCACAAGCAGCCGCCTTCATAAATTGAATTGGCTCTTCTCACTGTTACACTTGAAAAGCTCACCCCTTTTATCTGTTATTTCAGTCATATTAAAGATACCAACAATATCTTTTGTCATTCATTTTATAAACTGATAGAGTAGTAAACCCTAACCCTAGGAACATATGTTCCAATAGAGAGCGCAATTTGGAATGACTTCAAGGACTGACATCCAAGACCACTGGAAAGCGCAAGTATACACAAATTAGGTCCGCTTGAACAGCTTTTATCACTGGAGATTCCTGTTTTTCCTATTGCTCAGCTCGAGCCCATCGTCGATCACAGTACAGGCTCCACAATAGGTAGCGTGTAACTTAAGTAATATTCAGGTAGAGAATAGGTGAGTTGGGTTGGGTAGAGGGTGTTTTGTTGCTGGTTGGGTTGTGTATAAGGTCATTTTTTACCTAGGTAATTCAGCTAACGTAAATCACGGGGAACTCGGATATGACAGGGAAGTCGGATATCTCAGATTATTCATTCACTGTGGTGTCCGTCCGGTTTTCATAGGGTGAACCGCAACATGATCCAAACATACTCACCCTTATCACGGACATGGTTAAGCAACACACACCCCCAAAAACCATCTCAAAATGGTCAAAGAAATGGTGGACCCCGGACCTTTCCCAGCTCCGAACCATCTTCCACTCAGTACATAGGGCGTTTAGAAAAGGCAGAGCCCCCCCCTCAGAGATGAAAGCAACGCGCAACGCCTACTTCAACGCCATAAAGAAAGCAAAACAAGACCACTGGAATGCATTCATCGCCAACGCCGATACAAAGGACGTGTGGAGACTGAAGAAAATGGCCAACAGGACAGAAGACAAGATTCCCACCCTCCCCAACTCACCCACCCCAACCCTCCTCAACAACAACCTCATCAACGCTTTCTTCCCCCCCCGACCAGAAGGCCCCTCACCCCCCCCCATCCACTTCCCAAACACCCCACCCATAACGCCCAATGAAGTTCAAACCGCACTGGGCCCCACCTCTAACCTCTCTGCACCCGGCCCGGACACCATCCCATACTCAGTCTGGAAGGGTATCCACAGAGTCAACCCCCGCATAATACCCGCCCTTCTCAACCCGCTCATCCAACATGGATATCACCCACTCTCCCTGAAAACCGCCAATGGAGTAATCCTCGCCAAACCAAACAAACCGGACTACTCCTCCCCCGCCGCATACCGCATAATCGTTCTCCTCCAGACCTTCTCCAAGATCCTGGAAAAAATAATAACACTCCGCCTGGCCGTGATAGCTAAGGCCGTAGGACTCCTCCACAATCACCAATGTGGGTCAGTCAGCGGCTTGTCAACAGGAGATGCAGTCACCACACTCATACACGAAACCAGAGCCATGCAACTCGCCAAACTCAAAGTCTCCACCCTCTTCCTAGATATCAAAGGGGGCTTTGACCACGTCCTCAAACAACATCTAGCCTCCACCCTCTCGGAAAAACACACCCCTCCCTACATCACGAACTGGGTCCTCTCCTTCCTGTCCGACCGCTACATCACACTGTTGTTTAAAGGATCCCCCAAAATCCCCACAGCCGTCCAGGTAGGAGTCCCACAAGGATCCCCAATATCACCACTCCTCTTCCTTATCTATATCAATTTCCTCCACCAACACGACCCCGCCCCCGGCATCTCACTCTCCTATGTAGACGACCTGACCATTACAGTGGCCTCCCCATCATACGAGAAAAATACCAATATGCTCCAGACCCATTATAACAAGCTTACAGCCCTGGCCTCCCCCAAGAATGTCACATTCTCGGTGGGAAAGACGGAACTAATGCACTGGAGAACCCCACGCGACAAATCACCCACCTCACACCTCCCAATACTCCTGGACGGCCAAGCCTTCCAACCCAGCCCTATAGTACGATGGGTCGGGTATTGGCTCTCCCCCAACTTTAACCCCAATGCCCACTTCATCAGAAGAACAGCCGCCGCAAGAGCAGCCTTCGGTATCCTCAACCGTTTCTCCTCAGCAGGTAAAGGCCTATCACCCGCAAACTGCAGGAAAGTGGCCCTTCTTGCCATTCGCCCTATGTTCACCTACGGAGCCAATGTATTTACCCCAACATCGGCGCTCCGAGAAATGAATACCTTCTGGAATGCAGTCCTCAGATGGACAACAGGCTGCTTCAGAGCCACCAATAACCGCGTCCTATGGGCAGAAGCAAAAGCCCCCCCTCTAATACTATACCTCCACTTCCTGAAGTGCAAATTCGCCATCAGGATCCTTCAAGCCTCCCCACTAGCAAACCCGGTAACGGGAAGGACAGACCGCCACTTCCCCACCACCCTACGAGACCGAACCTATTCACATACCGCCCTCCTTAGAGGCCAGCCCAACCTACCAAAGAAATGGAACTCCAAAGCGAAGAAAGGTGTAGCACACACACCTATTGAACACCTCTGCTCCTTGCTCCTCCCCTTAATCGAGGAAGGCGTGGATCAGAGCAAGATGGCTCACAGAGCCAAGCAACAATTGCTGGATAACTGGCGCACCCATTTCCCAACCCCGACCTACTACACACACAGACTAGACACGTCCCCCCTACCCTTTACACACCTTCACAAGTTCATCGCCACAAGAATCCACCAAATAAGATCAGGGAAGAGCTACCTACGAGCACAGCAATCCTGGATCAACCTACACTCCTCGCCGAAATGCCGGAAATGTGGCCTCGAAGACGAGACCCCCGACCATGCCATACTACAATGCAACGCCACCGCGCTCACCCGCTCCCAAACCTTAGATGGAGTTACATCCCTTGGGGAAATCTGGGATAACCACACCCTCACCCTCCTACTAGGAGCCTACATCACCAAAACCAGAACAGGCTACCCGGTTAGCCGGGGACCCTCACCACTCGAATCAGGCTCGGGAATCTCTTCCCCCCTCAGCTCAGTCTCTTCCTCCTCTACGTCATCAACACCAATCGTGGGCCCAATGCCCACAGTCTACGCGTCCTAGCAAAGTCTCACTGAGAGCACGAGGCCAATGGCCAGAAGGATTTCACAGGGAAGGGTACTTAGCCCCCCCTCTAAATTGTTCATTGTTATTTTATATGCGTTTACCTTTCTTTTGTTATATTTTTATTTTGGAATTTTGTTTTTTGCTTTTTATCAGGGGACGAGTTATATGATGGTTAGGGGATAGGTTTCTTTACGCCATAGTTTTTACTTTACGCGATCATTGTGTACCTAGAAACAGAAATTGAAATGATTTAAAAAAAAAAAAAAAAAAAAAAAACATGATCCAAACATAATTAAGGGTTGTGAACGCCAACATGATCTACACATAAAGGTGGTGAACGGTAACATGATTTGTAATTTAGATATGAGTTGAGTTCCCCGTACTATGATCCTAACAACTGCTATCACCCGCACTACAATCCCAACTAATAACTACTGTACAGAAATAATATTATATCAATACGATACCACACTTCAAGTTTCCCCTTATGTTGAGATGATAATTAAAGATATTAGTAGGAGTTCTGGACGAGATTTGAATGCGACAAAGGAATGTGTATAGGTTAGGGTACAAGATACTGACCTTCACTTTTGGTTTTTCCGGTCTTTGTTTTTGATGTGCGCTTTCCCTTCTTCAACTTGTCCGCCTCTTTCTTTTCTAACAGTGCCTTCAGTCTCATTATATCCGCCCCTGTAATCACCTGCGCTTTAGAGATCACTCTTCTGTCGGTTCTTACTGACCTTTTCCCCTCATATTTGACCCTAATGTCCCGGAGTTGAATTTTGGCAATTTCCGCTTGAGTGAGGGACTCTTCTGCTAAATGTGACATTCGAAGGATAATTGCTTTATATTCATTTTGAGTGAGCCCCGGTACTGGCCCTTGGTTGATATTTGATACTTGAACTGATCCAGATTGCTCCGTTTTAGAATAGATTCCGGGATTTAAAGCAAATTGAGTTTGATGGCGCAGGTCACGTCTGTTCTTTGGTGTTTGAAGGCATGGGTGATGTAGAATTTGGAGATTGGACTTCCAGGGAGTTGCAGGACCGGGTTTTTGGTTCGATTTGAGTTTGGTTAATACTTTATCGGAGTTGAATGGGAAAATACCAGTGGTCCGGAAAGCCGCCTGATTGAGGATTTGGTGTATGTTTTTTTCCGAGCATCGACAAAGAATGACCAAAAAGTGCTTTTATTTATACCGGTTCGGGTTTCTCGAAGGTGTGTGTCTGCTGCTTTACCATAATAATGTTGAAGGGGGCCGAATAGACCTACATCTAGAGGTTGAAGTAGGTGAGTTGAATGGGCAGGGAGGCACATGATATGAATGTTCTGAGAGGAGGCATAAGAGCAAAACTCATAGGTTAGGTGTGAACCATGACCATCTAAAATCAATAGGCGTGGTTGGGCTCCACTGATCTTTTTGGAGTGAATGTCGAAGTGTTCTTTCAACCATCGCAACCCCATATCATTGTTTGTCCAACCATTGTCGCTAAAACAAAAGACCGCTTCCGCATCATCTGTCGATTGTTGCCAACCCATGTAATGACTCTTCCCTTTATAGATTACCCAAGCTGGAAGAACACAACCTGCTACAGAGACCGCTTCAATGACTGTGATCAACTCCCGGGAACCATCCTGGGCAACGTTTGGATTTCTTTTCCCTGACCGGCAGATCACTTTCGCTTTTGATGAGTAACCAAGTATAAACCCTTTCTCGTCAAAATTGTACGTATCCTGGTTGGGGCGAAACCTTTTAGAGATTAGGGTGTGGATAAGCCGGTTTAGGTTATTGTAGTAGTCTCTTAACGTGATGGGATTATTTGCTAGCTGCCTTTGACGATCCAGTTGGGTGCTGTATTTGGCTGAAAGATCTGGATGCCTATCAAGGAAACGTGTTATCCAGTTTCGTCCAATATGTGCTGCATCGGGCCCAAGATGTTCCTCTTCCGCGATCTTCTGCGCTAAAGCTGTCGCCATACCCCGCAGTAGATCAATCCTGGGTGGAAAACCTGCATCGTCCATGTCCTGGCACCATTTCTTAAGTGCCCTTTCCACGCTTGGTGGTAGCTTCTGCTGGTCTTGATGTGCTTCCCGTCTATTTTTTCTGCCATTGAATCGATCGTTCAATGTAGCTGCGGCAATACCAAATTCTAGTGCGAGAACTGACCAAGGAGTGTTGTATTCCGCCCTCTTTGACAGTGCTCGATGTATACGATCCTCTCTTTCCTGCTCTGATAAAGCACCAGGTCGCGACTTCACTCTCACCATTTTCGGTTGTGGTTTTGTTATCACGGCGTTGATATTTTTCACAGGAGCAAACGATGATTAATGGCAAGGGTCAACTTGAATGAGTAATCTGAGACATCCGACTTCACAGGGATATCCGACTTCGCCTTGATTTACGTTATATCTTGGGTAAAGAAATCACAACTATTTCTTATAAATGAGACATTATTCTTGGGAAAATACTAATTTGACATAAAGGTTTTCAGAGTAGATACTTCAATTATACTGTTATTTCATGCTCAACACCAAAATCTCTACCTGTCAAAAGGCACCTTTTACCCGGGTAATATTCAACGGGTTGGGTTGGGTCGGGTCGGGTACTCAAATCTGACAGGTTGGGTGGGCCGGGTCAAAGCCCTTTTTCTACTCGAGTATACCCATTGTGGGCTTTCCACAGTATGAGCCCTGTTATATGGTGACCTATGAGCTGCCTAGTTCCTATCTCGCCCCACCGCTCCCGCCTTCGCTCACAATTCTAATAGCTATGAGGATAGTTCAACAGCGACATTGGACTTATTAAATAAAGACTAAGAAGTATCGCTCGGGTGGATGAATTTTGTCAAATTCGCGACCTGGACCGCGCACCACTTAGTAAGGAAATTGCTTTGCTTTTTCCAGTTGCTAACATCATGTTTGGGGAAATGCCAATGCTAAGCGGTAGTTCTGTAGCTTTTAAACTTGTAATATTGTAAACCGGATTCCGCTCGCTGAGTGACTGATGATGCCACTAAGACGAGGCTGTAACGGCAGCTATGTATTTCGGCTAGGTGATGAACTGGGATGAGGGAAGGAGGTATCGTGCAGTGGAATTAGGATTTGTAATGGGGATTTCTGTTATGTTCTTTGGGTTTCTGTTACGCGAAGGTATTAGTCATCGTTGGATTATGGATGGATATATAAGGGGGCGTTGTTTTGTGCTTTTGTCTGTTTTCCTTCTTCTCTTTCTTCCTTACGCAACCTCTGTATTTATTCCACGAATACTATTCTCTGTCTGCACTACGTCATAGGGCTCCAACCGGTTTATCATACCAGGCAGAGCCACCCCATAGTCCATAGTCAAAGCATACCTTTACATCTACGTTCACGTCTACGTCACTACCGAGGTTGTATTCCTTGGCACCACAGTCTATTGCCTACAGTCCCCGTGATACGTAGGTTGCGTCCTCTATCGCCAACCAATACAACACCATAGCCTACAATGTCGGAACATGTCCATGTCGATTATCAACAACTCAACGATAACCTCCAAAGATTTTTTGAAGCGCATCCACAGGTCGATCATGTTGTCGGAGCTGAAGCTTATGCGCTTCTTCAACAGTGTCAAAATGGTCTTACTCAATATGCAACGGATTTACAAGAGATAGAAGCGGAGGCTGAGAGGGCAAGAAGAATGTTTGAACGAGATCTTACTGCTGCCCGAGCTCAACAAACTGCTGTTCAGATTGTGGCCCCTGACGAAGAACCTATTGGAAATAATGCTCCACCTGTACCCCCAGCACCACCAGTTACCGGTACCACCTATCGGTCGGAGAAACTCCCAGACCCCGACGTGTTCAGGGGGGATCGTGACCGGGAAAGGCTACACTTATTCAAGCAACAAATGAAACTTAAGCTATTAGGAAATGCCGATCGCTATCCTACACTACAGTCTAAGTTATCGTACGCGTTCAGCAGATTGGAAGGTGCTGCTGCCAATCAGTTTTTACAGTACATGGGAGAAGAAGGTATTGCCTTACCTTCTATGACACGGTTTTATGAGATTCTAGATACAGCTTTTGGAGACCCCGATCGAATGCGTACAGCTAGAAGAAATCTTCGGAACATCAGACAACGCACTCGAACCTTTGCCGATTATTTTGCTGAGTTTCAACGGTATGCTGCTGAGTCGGGTATGGATGAAGTCTCTCGGATTGAGGCTTTGATGGAAGGAATTAATGGGGAACTGGACGAATCGATGATACACCATGAGACTCCTGCAACGGTAGATGGTTGTGCAACACTCTTGCAACGATTGGATAACCGACGACGGGCGGCGGAAGCTAAGCGAGGTAGTAAAAAACCTTGGTCTACTACTGCGACCCCGGCTCCGCGTCCTCCACCAACAAATCCTGTTCCTGCTTCCCGTCCTGCTGCCCCTGCTGCCAACCCACCTGCCACTGAGAATCACCCCTCGTTCCGTCCTGGAGGTGATGTACCCATGGACCTGTCTGGAGGACGTCGTCGCCCTACCCCTGCCGAAAGAAACGCCCGATTAGCTGAGGGCCGATGTTTCTATTGCGGAGGTGTCGGGCATATGGTTAGAAATTGCCCCCAAGCGAGGGCAACTGGAAATCAACCAAGGAGACCTGTGATGAGAGGAGCGGCATTGACAGTGGAAGAAAATGATGGAAGCGATAATGAGTCGGCAAAAGATTTGTCCCTGCACTAAGTGGCTTAGCCCAGGGACCGTTTAAGGATTTTTCTAAGATGTGTATTTCTGGTTTTTCGGTATCAGAGGAGGAAATGGATGGAAATCAACTTGTAGTAACTTGTTCGATTTCACAGAATAAAAATTCGTTTATACCTACCTACGCCCTTATTGATACCGGAGCATCAGGATATGCTTTCATTGATGAATCCTTTGCACGCCACAACAATCTTACAATGACCCCCCTTAAAATACCTCGCCATGTAGACGTTATAGACGGAAGGCCTATTAAGTCAGGAAAAATTACCCATATTGTCGATGTCTCGCTAGACATTCATGGTCATCGGGAGACGGCGCCATGTTTTGTAACGAAGTTAGGACACTATCCGATTGTGATGGGGACACCTTGGATGCGACGACATGATGTTACGATTCGACCAAAAGAAAATCTACTTGTTTTTGACTCTCGAAGCTGTTGTCAACACTGTTCACTCAGTGGAACTGCAGTTATTGTTCATGGTATCTCGATCCCCTTACCGGAACACCATACAGTCATCGTTTCAGCAACCGAGAAATCCACTATCGATATCGAACAATTAGTACCGAAAGAATTTCACCATCGTCTTCATATGTTCAAAGAATATGATGCTTCAATTCTCCCACCACATCGACCATCCCATGACATCGAGATAGTATTAGAGGAAGGCAAACGACCACCATATGGACCTATATATGGATTATCTCAAATTGAGTTAAAAGCACTACGAGAATATCTTGATGAAAATTTACCCAAAGGATTTATTCGAGCCAGTGAATCACCAGCGGGAGCACCCATACTGTTTGTGAAGAAAAGCGATGGAACCCTTCGACTTTGTGTTGACTATCGAGGCCTAAATGCGATTACAATCAAAAATCGATATCCATTACCATTGTTAAAAGAAACCCTGGCTAAGTTATCAAGAGCACGATACTATACTAAGTTGGATTTACGATGGGGATATAATCAAATCAGGATAGCGGAGGGAGATGAATGGAAAACAGCATTCCGGACTCGATATGGACATTTCGAATATACAGTAATGCCGTTTGGATTAGCTAATGCACCTGCTACATTTCAGCATTGGATCAATGATATTCTACGTCCCTACCTCGATCAATTCGTAACAGCATACTTAGACGATATCCTTATCTACTCCGAGACCCTATCAGAACATAAAGAACATATTCAAAAGGTTCTAAAGGTACTTGATGAAAATCATGTTCACCTTAAACCTGAAAAATGTGAATTTATGGTTCAGGAAACAAAATATCTTGGTTTAATCCTTACTCCGAATGGGAATAGAATGGATCCAAAGAAAGTTATCGATGTTTTGGAATGGACTACACCGACAAACCTTCGTGATGTTCAAGTATTCCTAGGATTTGCAAATTTCTACCGACGGTTTATTTTGGGATATTCGAAAATTGTTGCCCCGCTTACAGCCTTGACAAAGAAAAACGTTAAATTTGAATGGACGGATGAAAGGGAGGAAGCATTTCAGACTTTGAAAAAGATGTTTACAACGGCACCGATACTAGCTCATTTTAATCCAGATCGAAAAATTGTGATAGAAACTGATGCATCCGACTATGTTTCAGCAGGAATTCTATCTCAACGTGACAACGAAGGAATTCTACATCCAGTTGCTTTCTTTTCTAAGAAACACTCTCCCGCAGAATGCAACTACGAAATCTATGACAAAGAGCTTTTAGCAATTATACGATGTTTTGAAGAATGGCGACATCATCTGGAGGGAGCTCAATTTCCAATTGAAGTTCTTAGCGACCATCGGAATCTTGAGTATTTTATGACAACAAAATTGTTAAATCGTCGACAAGCCCGTTGGTCCGAATTTCTTTCACGCTTCGATTTCGTTATACAATTTCGGCCAGGAAAACAAGGAACAAAACCAGATGCATTGACTAGGAGGTCAGGTGACCTACCTAAAGAGGGGGATGAACGGTTAACGCATCAGAGTCAAGTGATTCTGAAGCGAAAAAATTTGGATACCAAGCTAAGTTTGTTCGCGGGTTCTTTGTCAAATGAATCCGCTGAAGGAGCGTCCACTGTAGAGGAGTTATTTTCAAAAGCTTACCAAGTGGATAGTTTCCCAAACAAGGTTCTCAATATGCTTCGGAATGGCATACGCCACTCAAACAAAATCTCACTTGCCGAATGTATGGAAGATAACAACGGTCGGCTGCTTTATCGAGGCATGCTATATGTACCAGACGATGATGACCTTCGACTAAGGCTTTTAAAAGAATATCATGACAAACCATCTGCAGGACATCCGGGTAGAGCGAAGACTCTGGAGCTCCTAAGTCGAGAATATTACTGGCCACAGATGCGGAAGTTTGTCGATCAGTATATTAGAAATTGCAATGTGTGCACCCGTAGCAAGGCATCACACAATGCACCTTATGGAGTACTTCGCCCCATGCCAATTCCCGATGGACCCTGGACAGATGTCTCGATGGACTTTGTAACTGATCTTCCTGAGAGTGATGGGTATAATGCGATTTTGGTCGTGGT